CCTAATTCATTATGGTCTGGCTCCTTTCAAAATTAGTACAGCCCCTTTTAAAATGCTCATGAGCAATTTCTAGGGTCCCGGATTCATTATTTATTATTAGGGTGGGTTTTATTAATATGGGGAACGGATTAAAGGTTTGAGCTTAGAGCTTACAGGTGTTCAGGGTTTGGAGGGTATAGGGCCTTTGATACTTGCATGGCCATGAGGCAGTGTGAGGGTCTTGCAGGGATGAGTGTTTACTGGGGTTTGAGGCGTTGGGATAGAGGTACAGTGCACAAAATAAACACGGAACCTGTAGGCCTCCTTTACAGACTCACGGGTTTGGTAAGGGTCCTCGTTAAAGAAGTGATAGGTACACAGTTCATGAACATGGTAGAAACCTGCGGCGATAAGAGACAATGCAAGAAGAGTCCCGTCTCAACCCGGTGATGGGATGTGGGCTTCGTCTTTGTTCAGAGCCTACCCCGTTCAAACTTACCAAATACTTCGCTAGACATGGAATGCATATCTCGACTGCCAAGATGGCAACAATTGGGGGGTGTGCTGGCGAGCTATTGCTGCTACCATGGCTCTGGCCTGTCTCAGATAACCGCGCGCGCTTTCGAGAGGGCGTCCAACTTAGTACCTTGGAGTTTTACCTCTTGGCACTGGAGTATTCTAAAGACGTGGCCTCCAACAGTGGGCCAAGCTTGAGGAATACTTCTAGGGTTTAGGGTTTAGGCCCTCTACAAGTAGATCAACAACACTTCTCATGCTCCTGCGGCAAGCATGGAAGCAAGTTCACAATGCAAAACCTCACATGACTTCAAGGATCATTTAAAGTCGAAAAGGGGGTAGAACTGATGCTTTTTCTCGACATGCCTCTGGAGCCTCAGAAAGAGAATCTCCTTCCCTTCGTTACAACCACTTACAACCTGCCACAAACAAAGAATCACAACTGCGGAGTCAATTTAAGCCTAACTCGCCTTGAACTTACAGGCACTTAAAGGAGAATGGGGAACCACTAAAATCCCCTAGAAATATACCTATATTCCATTCCCCACTTTCGCTTCAGCACTCGTACCGCGTTTAAGGTTTATGGCCTCAAACCCTGAACCCAGAACCTTATAAATAACCCACCGCAATTACGTACAGCTTGGTGGCCCATAACACTGCACGTAGTTGGGGTTACGGGTAACCTCTAAACCCTTAAGCCAAATTCTTGCTGGCGGCTGCGGGAGTTTCTTCGGAACCTTTCTCCTCACCTCGCAACACCGGAGCAAAGTTACCCCCTGGTATTTCAGAAAAACCCTAAACCCTACAACCTGAACCCTAAGCCCTAAACCCTAAACCCTTAAGCCCTGAACCCTAAGCCATGCAGTTTGGATCTCAGAGGTTCTCCTTTCAAAGGCCTGGGGCTAGGGTATGGTTTCAGATTCAAATCATTACTTTACACCGTCATGCAGGGGTTATAGGGAAGACATACGATTAGGGTTTAGGGTTTACGGCTGAATAATTTCCGATAATGGAGAACCGACTGGAAAAGAACATGAAAAAGGTATGGAAACTGGCCTTACAGTGGTGCTCAAAGGTTTAGAGGGATAGAATAGCTGAGAATCAGGTGGAAGGGGAAATTGAACATAGAATGGATACTGGATGAGGGTTTATGGCCTTAGGCTTAGGAGCTTCTATACATGAAGGGCCTTAACAAAAACCTGTGGATGTATGTGGCAAAGTGCTTACGTGGTACCTCCCCAATATAGGGGAACCCCAATACAGACCCCAAAATATCTTGATCCTCATTGTAGAGACCCCCCCAAACAGTATCCCTAATTTTAGGTAACCCCCATTTGGGTCTCTTGCAAGGATGCTTAGGGGGCACGGTGAGAGAAACTCCCACAAGACCTACGCCCTAAACCCTAAACCCCTGTTCGTTGCCAACACCTAGTACCAAAAACTGCCATGCTTGTCAAGATGAGAGTTCTTGAAACTCGACCAATGACCACGCCCCTGAACAACAAATCGTGATGCCAATCCTGGGGGACTATATAATCCCTAGCCAGGTCATTTTCACAACAGTCTTACTGCTTGGGGCGATTCCGGCCTGCATTGCAGGCCAGAATTGGGGGTTTTCCAAGATTGGGATTACCTGATTACCTCATTGGGGTCGGAACAATAATGATTGTAATATTTTTGGTGTCTATATTGGGGTCCCCCTTTCTTTGGGGAACTACCATTTGGAAGAAGGCGGTCATAGTGTTTCGGTCGGGTAGGCTACAGGTCCTCCAGAATACCAGGAGTCCTGGTATAATGTAAGGTCACATTCTCACATGGACATGACGGCTTACGCCTTTCAATCGCAAAGCCCTGTAAGCCCAAACGCACGAAAAGCCCAACCCCGGAGACCACCTAAATGTCTGTAAGCCCTAAAGCAAAAAAGCTACTGTACTTGGAGGCCTACTTGGAGGGTCAGGAACGCTTTGTAAGTAGGTTTATAATGGGAATAACTGGGGTTATTATGTGGCTTATAGGCTGGGGTAGTAAATATGGTACCTAAACCCTCAACCCTAAGCCTTAGACCTTAAATCCTAAGCCCCAAGCCCTAAACCCTAAACCTTGGCCCCCTACATCTGGTGCCTTGCTCATCCTCCTTCTCCTTAGAGTTTGAGGAACTGCTGGAGGAGGAACCCGAGGAAGAAGAGGATGACGAAGACTTCCTTGGGCTTCACGTTAGGGTTTACGATCTAAGGATTAAGGTTTAGCAATAGGGTCTAGGGCCTAGGGTGTAAGAGTGCTTAAGGGAGCGTAGGGGAGTGGACCCTGTAAGACCTCCATAGAAGTATATATAACTGTAACAATGCTGTAGCTCAGGGTCTTGATAGATTTCAAAAATGCCGCCTTTTTGCAGTTCCTTGGGCTTCAGCAATAGGGGCATCACGTAATACTTGATTTGATAGCTCGTGTCTCGTGCTCTTGGGCACCTTTTATGTACAAGGGCTTATAGGCTTTTTGGGTTTTGGGGTTTGGGTCCAGGTTAGGCGGAGAGTGTAGGTTTATCTTGACTCCTGAGGGTTTTACAAGTCTTCAAGGGGTTTGTGACAGATGATGCTCTGCTGATGCAAGCTGCATGAACGGATGTAAAAATCCAGGTCCATGATTTCGATCCTTTTCCAAATTGTGCTGCCTATATGAGCTGTAGTCTCAGCTCCTTGTATCACCCTGAATAAACCTAACCAATAATACTAAAGCCACGTACATAATCCGCTATGCAACCCCCTTTAATAAGCTTAGATTACGGCTCATCTAAGAATCTAAGGATGTCATATATCCTGGGGATATGCGGCGACTGTTTTCTCCTATGTCCTCTCAGGGGCTCTATAGCCTGGTTGGAGAAAGTCCTACACGAGGGTTACGGTGCAGAAATGCACTTCATATTCCGAATTCCAGCTGTCAGTTGGTAGGTGGTGGCTGGAACGAGGGAAGGGGCTCCTATGCAGTATGCATATATCTAAAGCTCTGGTTGCCTATGTTAATACTTTTATGTTTTGCCTTTATCAATCTTACTGCCACTACTACCTCTACTTTCGACCAACACCTCATTCCTGGCAAACCTTGCGCACTGCAGGAAATGGGGACTGAAACTGTGGATGGAAAGTGTCAGGTTCACAGGGGCAGAAGAGGTTTAGCATTTAAGATCCAGAACACCTCCGGGTGAGAGCTACCAGTTGGGTACCCCGTATAAATTATCATTTAAGGCGCATGTAAGGTTAACGGGGCTATATGAGGTCTATATGAGCCCTGATACCACTCGGGGTTTCATTGAAAATGCTGCCAGCCTCAACACTCAAGAAGGCAAGATCTGGGATTGAATGTACACAATCAAAATCCTTACAGAAGTACCCTAAACCCTAGCGTAGCCGCAGCGGACCTTGGGACTCGAACCTGCAGCAGTCATGACGCATTGGCGTATCGGTACTTAGAATGGCAAGTAACATGTGCCCAGTGATCTGAATTAGCGGTTCGTGGTTGCCCAGAACTCAAGCCCCATCGTTTGACACCAGCGTCTTCTTCTTTTTCTTCTCCTTGCCAGGTTCAGAACAGGATGTGCCCTACTCCACATACGTGCTTCTTTTGACAAACATTGTTGGACCTACTGCAGTGGTGATCCAGGCAGCCGTGTCCGCTTTTACAATGCACCCTTAAACAACAAACACCAAGAATTCCAACCAAGAAGCTGCAATAAGAAATTGGTTTCACCTTAAGGCGGATAGGTTGCCTGCCAACCGTGAGAGCACGAGGTATGGGTGGGCGCCCCACTGCAAATCTCAACCACAATCATAGCCCGGCAGAAGCTTCTCAAGCTTGAAAACCATCCCTTCTTCGCCAAGGAAGAGCCCGCCTTCTTCTTGTCCTTCTTTTTCTTCTTCTCCTTCTTCTTCTTATCTTTCTTCTTCTTGTCCTTCTTCTTTCCCTTCTTCTCCTCCTGCATGACAGTGGCTTTGCACGTGGCAGTAAGATGCCTTTGCGGAACGATGCTGGGAGTTGAACCAGTGCGGCAAGCGTAGGTTCAACACAAGCTTCTATATGAAGGTGGCTGCCGTAAAGTTCTACAGACCTATCCTTCTGCGATAGCCAAACTTTACAATACTAAAATACTGCAAGACCATAGAGCCTCCGTGTCAGGCAATCGCAAGCGTTCGGGCTCTCAGGGCTTTCGGATCTAAACTTTTCGCTGATCTGAAGCATGAAAAATGACCAGGAAAAATGCTAATCACAAGTGTAAGCTAATCTACTCCCATATAGCCACTGCTGGTGACGCTATACTTGCCAACTGTGACTTTGACTCTCTGTCAGCAGCTATAGCCCTACCACATTCAAAATTGGCTATACCCTCTAAATCCGCTACTCTGCATTGTTACCGGAGCCCTGACCCTACTGTGCAGACCTGCAACTCCGTCCGCACTTGAGCTTAAATCCGACCCACCAGTGCCTAAACCCAGCAATATTAAAGCGCAAACCTACTCGGCCCCTATCCAATCCCGTAAGACCAAAAAGGCTCATGCGCTGAGAGGTTCTAGGGTCGCATCTGGAGATTTACCGTGCAACAGCCTCCTTGGTTGCCTGTAGTTTGACAACTTACCATATTGAAGCTTGCCTTACATGATTAGAACTTACATAACTAATTTCTTGTGCCCGAAATGGGATGCCAACAAGTTGAGCCCAAGGTACTTTGTTATCTGAACATCGTGAAAGATCCATATTGTGCATATGCATGCCCCCAGCATAGGGCCAAAGGGGAAGCGAGGGAGGAGGGCGCTTGCAACAAAAGGGCCCAGGCGGCTTTTCCAACCCTTGCTCTGTTCAGCCCTCTTGCCACCCTAATTAGCGTGCAAACGCCCCAAGACCCGCAGATACCCTAAACTGAGTCGTCGATTGCTAGCCTCCTTGGACTGCAGTAGATGGACGCTTACCGCCTTTCAACATCATACTACGGGGGCTTCCAAATATCAGGGTCTCTGTCTGGGTTTCGGGTTCAAACTTTGCCACATTAGTTTTTACGATCCTGTGCAGGACGATAAAACTTGAAACCGTCTAGTGCCATTCGAACCCCTCGTATGGAACCGGCATATGAGCTACTGTCAATATTGCACAGGTAGTTAATTTAATGGACATGGGTTCCATTCTAAAGATTTCATTCGGGACTATACTAAGCTACAGGAGGGACCCTTATGTCCACTGTTACGGGTCCACCAATAAGACCAACACAAAAGCCGCCTTCTTGAATTCCTTGTTCTGTCTCTCTGCTGCAGCAACAGCATACTTGTCCAGCTGGCTATTCCTCAAGGTTTATAGGGTTTAGGCTGCAGATAGGGCTATATGTCCTTTTAGGTTTCTTTTGGGCGTTGTGATATTTTGTTTTTTTTGACAGGCCTCCCAGCAGAATCCATTGAAAGAGGGCTTCTTCATCTGTTTGGCTTCTCTGACATTCATGTGCGCAGAAGCCAAGTAAAAGCATATAAATCGTGAAGAGCCTTTAACCCACATGATTTCAGGACCGCGTTGCGCAGGGCAGCGGAGGGTGTGCGAGTGTTGTCTTGAGGAAGTTCTTGAGATTCTGGCAAAAAGTATCAAGGTATTGACTTCTAAAATCCAACAGATCCCCGGATAGGCAACACCTTCCTTGAGCTCTAGGTACACAGGACCTCCACGAGCAAGGTCCAACAGGGCTCAACATCATGTTGTTGCGGGCTCGCGGGAAACCGTGTCAGACCCCGTGTGCAGCTTAACACAGGGGTTCGTCCATCATAATGCATGCATGAACCAATCTCCAGTTCTCTTTTATTTATGCTCCCGAGGGAGGGCGGCCAGGGAACTTATGACATGGGAAGTCCAGCTTAAAAACCGCACCGTGGGGATCTAGACCCAAAGGATCTAGACGTCGTCCCTCATCCAATCAAAGTATTTTTGTGACATGCTTCCCTTTAGGGCTTGAACTGCTTTGGTTAATGGCCGGCCGGATCTTTGCAACGAAGCTTTCAACTGCATTCCAGAAACCCATTTCCCAAGACCTGCTGCAGAATCCCAGGCCCTTGTGAAGACCCCTGATTAATAAAGGGGTAATATTGGGTTATATAGGGATAATGGAAAAGAAAATGGAAGCTACTATTTAGGGTTTAGGGTTTAGGGACCCATGATTAACACACCCCGTCAGTTTAAGGGCCTTATATTATGCTACTATAACCCCTATTGAGGGGAGGGGGTTTATTAATCAGGGTCTGGGTTAAGCCTCTGAACCCAAAATCAACCCCCAAACCGAGGTCTCAGCACAAACTTCTCAAGCATCCTTTCTATCGTGCGGCCCTTGGTCAGGTACGGTCAGGTATCTCTAGACTAGAAAAGCCTAAACCCTAAACCCTAAACCCTGACTCTAGACTGTTAGGATCCTTTTATTACTACCCTCCCCGTCCCCAGAAGGCAGGTTTGGGGCTATTTGGGCTACTGTTGGGGAAAGGATCATAACAGGGGGGGGAGAACTAAGTGTAGGAGACCTTGAGGATAGCGAGTGGTGCGGGTTGCCGGTTCAAGTCGGTCCAACTCTGAAGGAACGGACTCTGAGAAGAGGCCCTCTACAGCTTACTATCCTTTTTTCTAGCCGTGGGGCTATGGTAGGTGTCCGGGTATCTAGATTCTTGGAGCCCCGAAGTACACACCATAGCCCCTCCCGCCCAGTTCGAAGCCCAAGTTTTGAAAATTACACACTTCCCGCCGGCTAGCTTTTCGCGAAAAGGTGATGGTCCAATGATGTCAGAATGCCAAGACAAACTCAACAAAATCCTCCCACAAAACAATACCTCCCCACGGAGTCACTGTGCTGCAAGCTAGGGATGGACATACAAAAGCAACACCAAAGAAAGTCCTAACAATGCAACCATGAACAAGGAGGAGCATCTGGCATGTGCCCAGGAAGTCCTGGTAAGTAGTGGTCACGGCCAATCAGAGGGACAAGAAAATGGAGCATGACATGAAACTAGGATAGGATAGTGCAGCTTAGAGCGTGCGTAATGAGGAAGCCTGACTAGTAGCAATAATATCCCGTTATCATCTGCCTTCACTTCTAGTACCCTGAAACCCCAATACATCGACATGGGCCAAACAATTAGATGCCAGAGGCATCCGCGTTGCTGGATTTAGTCGTAATGTGGGTTCACAAAATCATTTCCTGGGTAATAGAGGTGTGTGGCACGAGGGGCTATGATTGTATATATGGCAGTTACCACATGCCTCAATAAGACTTACTTCTCATAACTATGGGTAGCCGGTAAAACGGACCTAAAATGCAACCCCATGCTCCCATACGATACAACATGCAAGAGCGGACACCCGGAAGTTCGGATATTCCTAACCGTTGTTGTAGTCCTGGCCGAAGAAGCAGCATGTAGCAACTATAGCTTACCTCCCTCAGCCCAAGCCCAAAGTAACATGGACCCCTAAAAGGAGCTGACAAGTCCTACCTTTGGAGGTGGCCTAAACTTTGTTCTTTTGTTTGTTCAGAGGGGTGCACAGCAGCTTCCATACAAACAGGGGGACTTCTCTGGGCCCAGTGCTGCGTCTTGCACGATGGGCACGCGCGCGCCGCCTGCGCCCATCGCCTGCAGCAGGGCAAACTTTGATATTAACTCTCTCCCCCTAACATAAATCCCCCAACCATCCTAGTATTCAAAAATCCCATTGCTGTAATTGTACCTTATCTTAAGTATTCATTAATAGGGGGTAGGTGGTTTTGATTTTTTGATATGAATGGAGGGAATGAAATCTAGCGTCTAGGCTCCTACGAGGTTGCTGCATCGGGGACAAGGAAAAATAATCGCGGCTCACAAAGAACTCCCGGGGATTGTCCAGCTAGACCCTAAACCCTAAACCAGTTGAATGACCACACATCCTCTCGCCCGGAATGGTTTCTAGCTGGCTTTCCTTAGCCTTTTCTTCCGGTGAGGATACCTGAGCAACCATATGCCTCAGCATCGTGTCTGGCTTCCCCCAGGACTCGAACAATCTGAACCACCATCCAGGGGGTTAGGGTTATGCGCTAAAGCTTGGGGTTTAGGATTCGAGCTTAGCACATCTTAGCATACTAGAGCAAGGGTTTTAGTGTGGACCATAGTAACGCCTCACCCTAGCATCTAAAAGTCCACATGCCCCTAACCTGTGAAATAATATGGTAAAAGTTCGGGAAAAGATAAAATAGTAGAATGATGTGAACATAAGGGCGAAATAGTATGTTAGGGGAGAGGGACTGCTAAACTACGAAACCCTCAGCCAGAAGCCCTTATGCCACAGCGCCTCACCCAGCGCTTGCGCCTTTTGGGCAGCCGCCTCCAAGACTGCTACTGTTACTATGACTTAGGTGGACCCTAACTATGACTACATAAGGTGGTGCGAGATTTCCTCCACCTACAGTCCATTGCTATCGCTGTTGAAGTTGCTACCACCACCACCACCACCACCACCACCACCACCACCACCACCACCACGACTTCTAATACCACTAAAAATGATACCGATAATAATTATACGAATTAGATGATCGCTCTGGATCTTCCTGCTCTGTGACAGGCACTGCGACTGTCACTCCTAGAGCTGCTAGAATATAGGGGATATAGGGGTTATATTGGGATAATGGAAAATAAAATGGAAACTGCAATTTAGGGTTTAGGGTTTAGGAATGATAACATTTGGGTTATATTGGGATAATGGAGTTTGGGTCTATAGTCCCCCTTAAGTAGATATAGAATTATATCCTTAGCTTTCAGCTCATGTGGCTTCTTCACTTTCTTTTGCCAGACAAGCTGATCGAAATCTGCACGGAGGTTGGCAAACATGCGGTAGAGGTCCGCTTGATGGAAGGTTGAGATTTCAAATTGGTATGTATGGTGAGAATAAGTGGATGTGGTAGGAGTGACAATGAGTTTATGAATGCAGCGCCTCTTCAATCATTCATCTAATCCTCACCAGGCAGACAGGCACGCCTGCAATCCCGTCTAGTCCCTTAGTATTGGGCAAGTTATTCTGATTCCTAATCCTGAACGGAGGCCATCTTGGGTAAGTTTTCGAGCGAAACCACAACTCAAGGCAAGGTTGTAGGAGCTGACAATATGGTGGTTTCCCGACATAAGGGGACCCCAATATAAACCCCAAAATACTATAAACCTTATTATTGGGACCCCCCAAAGAGGTACCCCGAATTTTCGGAAACTCCCGTATTTTGCCGAGGTTTGTACCCCTAGCTGCTCTCAGGCGCCTTCATGCTTAGAAGCCCCTACTGAAACAACAGGAAATTCAGAGCGTACGGGGGCAGAACCTTCCCTCCTCCAGAAAACAAGAGACAATCCTGAATGCAAGTCATCCCCTCCCCATCCTCCCCCTGATAATGAATTCAACCTATGTAATACCATTAAAGCCATGCCTGGGCATTGCCTTGCAGGGACTTTGCCATTGCTGCAGATCCCCCGGACCTAGGTCAAACAGCAGCAGGAACACCCACCACATCGAAAATATGCGTGGTGGACCTTGGGAGAATAATTGCAACCCCTGATTAATAAATCCCCTCCCTTAATAAGGATATTCATAGGGGATCCTAATAAGGCCCTTAAAAGGAGGGGTTTATTGATCAGGGGTCTACATTAGTTTTGCTGAGAAATGTAGGCTGATTATCCTGCTCGACCTAACTACGGCTCAAGTAAGCTTAGGTGCAAATGCCGGTTACGGCCCCACCCGGAACCTCAAAACCTACATCAGGGGATTAGGATTTAGGGGCTTATAGGGTTACACTCTAGTTATACGAGCACAACGCCTCCAAGGGAATCACTTGTATGGCCCAACATTTCCCCTTTGGTGACTGCTCCAGACCACGTGGTTTGCCCTGAAGCTGCTCTTCAAAAGAGAGCCTGGCGAAGCCGAATGTAGCCGTCTGAATTGTCAGCACATGTATTGGAGACTTACAGACCCTAAACCCTAAACCGCATTACAGTCCAGCTGTGTAGGAAGTAGAATGTCGAAGACTCAGGCACCTAATCACTCAAACCCTTTACTTCCTTCAAACGTGTCGGGTGCTACTCATCCCCTCCCCCTAGTATTAAACCCCCCACCCCCTTAATATTAAATACACACCATTATGGTATAGAATATATTGGGAATATTGAATAGTAGGGGGGAGTGGGGGGGTTTAATCTTAGGGCGAGGGGATTACAACTTGCTAGCCCCTTAACCGCAGGTTGCCATAGAAACTGGCTCCTTATGCAGTCACGACTGAAAATTACAGCTGTGTTTTCCTTGTTGGGCCTAGCACAGGGAAAGTTAGACAAATGTTCCACAGTGATTCAGGAAAGGGTCGTAGAGTATCAATGGTACAAAGCCCCATAAATAGCGCGCATGATTTTGACAGCTACCTGTGTAAGCCATGAAACCTAACACAAATTTCAAGAAAGGGGTCCCGCTGGTTATACCCGCAAAGCCCGGGATCTGTAATGTTTGGACACACTAAAACTTCTTGATCCCCAGAATGCCCCTAGAAATCCATATATTGCCCCACAACGCCCAGACCTGTAACACAATTAGTCTAGAAGCCCCAATCCCCAAATACACCCATTTTGCCCCCTAGGCAGCCCTATACGACCCCTTAAGGCTCTTTAAGCGGACCCTGACTTTTGAGAAACACCCAGATGAGCACCTGGCGAAAGACCCATAGTCTCAAATCTGCTTCTGTAATCATCCTGGTGTTCAGGGTGTAGGATTTTAGGTTCAGGATTTTAGACTTTAGGGTTAATAGTTCCAGGTTTAGGGTTTTAGGGTTTTCGGGTTGGGGTTTTGAGTTTCTCGGAGTCGCTTCAGGATTTAAAGGCTTTGAAGCTTGGAATATGGGACTCTCCCCAAAGCGGGAGCCCCAGATGCACTTGAGACTCCTATCTCCCCAGGCTTTTGAAGGGCCCCTCTGTTGTGGGGAGAGATCCCCGTGCTTCAAGTCAACAAGAGAGGCATTCCGGCATGCTTTACTTGAAAAAGTCAGGGGGATTCAGTGAATATACTTCGAAAAGGAAAGAGCATTTGAGAATGGAAACCATTTCTGTATTCAGGGTCTTGGGATTGGATTCCTGTCTCTGCCTCTTCTGTTTCATGCCTGCCCCCAAGCCACAATCTCGGTACAGGGCCAGTCTGTGCTCGAGTTCGGGCAGCGGGGCTAATCCGAAACCCTAAACTCTTGCACAGGGACTTGAACTGGAATGGGGTTGGATGCTGCGCAAGGAGAAACATGGGGATGATGGTGCCAGGCTTACTCTAGACCCTGCTCGCCCTCTAAGGGTTCGAGGTCCCTGGGCTTGAGTTTAGTGTTCAGGGCTTATCCGTCCGAAGCCCAACATTGGAAATCGTGCAAGCATGTGGAATCCGAAGCTGGCCAACTGATCTACGAAAGAAGTGAAGGGCACCTCCATGTTTCGGGCGGTCTTGCTGGGGTCCAAGCAAATGTTCGAGATATATCGGGAAGAGTATGGCTTGGGTCCTTGACCCTACATACAGTAACTGCTACCACATGGGTAGGAGGAGTTATAATACCAATTCAGTAAGACCCCTCTAACGACAGCCACTGTGAGGGAGAACGACCCTCCCCAACATAGGCAACTGGAGTCCTCCAAGTAGATTTCTCTTCAAACAAACACGGTGTACAACAGTGACGCGCTGCAGTACTTCCCCTCTATGATGCTGTGAAAGTTCCCTCAGGCCCTACTTGCGGGGTCGTATGGGGGACTTAGTAAGTAGGTTAATGATGAGGATAGCCAGGCGGTATGGCTTGTAGGGGCTATACATGTACTGAATCCTCCGAGTAGTCTTGGAGTTTCGAGGAAACCTGGTTTGGTTTAGGTCGGGGTGGTCTCTGGATCTGCCCCCTACAACCAGGTCTATGTTGATTCCAGGTGCTGAAGCTCATGAGGTTTAGGTTCAAATTTTCAAGCCCCAGTCCGCTGAAACCTCTATTCCTAACAACTTTTTTGCTGCATCGGCATTAAACCCTAACTCAACCCACCCCCCCCCCCCCCCTATTTGCCCGCAGCATCTTCATGTTACGTGCACATCCACGGTCATAGCATCCGTATAAATA